TGATATAAATCAAAGTGCGAAAATACTAATACAATTCTGAAATATATTTTGTAGCCAACATGGCTTAATATGAAAAGCATGCGACTCTATCTAGCTGTTACTCTAGTCTATGAAGCCTCTAATGGAGTACTGAAAGCACTGACTGTCTGACAATACTGTAGACTGTAAGGTAATGATAATGCCCCGAAAGAACTGGGGATCACCAAACAGCTGGTACGAGAATCCTAGCGCTCTAAATCATCAACCTGTAAATCATTACTTGCAATGGAGATGCAGGCCCCGGGCAAAAGGGACGTCAGTACATTTGAATTGCACTGGTATGTAAAGCAACTGAAAGAAAAAAATTATAAATGCTGAAACTGAAACTAAGTTGATAACTGAGAATTGATAATTGATACTGAAATGATAACTATTGAAATAGAAACTGAAACGATAACTAAAATGATAACTGATAACTGAAATGATAACTGATAGCTGATAACTGAACTGAACAAAGAAAGTAAGGATATGAATACTCCCTCTTCTGAATGATGAACAACCTGTTTATCTGAATAAGCTACGGCCTCGGGCCCAATATATATGTGCACCAGCTACGGCCTCAGGCCCAAGTATACGTATACATAACTACGGCCTCAGGCCCAAAAATGCATAAAGCATAAACTACGGCCTCAGGCCCAAACATGCATAAAGCATAAACTACGGCCTCAGGCCCAAGTACAGGTGTTCAACATTCAGGAATTGAGGATCAAACTGCAATACATGATAGTGAAATACTGAATCACACTGAGTTACATGATACTGGAATATTGGATCACACTGAGTTACATAATATTGGAATACTGAATAGGATTAGACTGAGACATGTATTGTTGAACTGATTATGAACACTGAAACTTTAACTGTTTATGGCATACTAGGTAATCTATATTAATACTCGGGGGCATCAAACCCAAGTCTATATTGAATACGCACTGAGCTCACAACGTTCAGAATGAAAGTGGTGAACGAGTTATGAAGCTAGAGAATAGAAGTTCTACAACTATTTAAGGAACTAGGCTTAACTATATTCCTGAGGCAATTGGTAACGTCGTAAAAGAAACGTAGTGTAGGGAAAATCATTAAAATTCCCAAACATAGAGAGTTAGCCTCACATACTTTATCTTCCCGCTCTTGAGCGTAATACAACATTCGCCAACCCTTTCAACTTTAATCTATATCAATACAAGTCAAAGGGATTCCATATTAGAAATAATTCTCATGTTTTAGTCACTTAAGCATTTTCTCAAACATTTGGTGACATAAAGCTTCATAGTCCTTATTTATAGTGTTTCTACGCCCAACAAGCCATTCTCTTGATCCTAGATAAATTCTAAAATCTCAAATTTCTTATAATCAATGTCATTCTTCTTCACCCATAAGATAAACAACACCCTTAACCAATAATCAACAATCAACAAGCAAAACCTATAATTGTTCATGCTTTTCTATCAAATCCATCAACTCATATCTCATGAACTTGTAGTCTACAATCATTAATCCAACGCTATAATCAATTAGAGGGTGAAGATATTACCTTCTTGACGTTCAATCTTCTTGAATTCGAGTTCTAGGGTTCCTTCTCTCAACAATGATGTCCCAATCGAATATCTAATGATATGGAGGGTTTACCTACGTTAATAAGATGTTGAGAAATTGAAATTAACTTAGAATCACCTTAAGAACATACCTTGGATGGTGGAAGGACCCTTAAGGAGTTAGGTTTTTGAGAGTTCCTCTTTCTAGAGGAAGTTTTTATGTTTTGGGGCTGTGGGGGACGAAGTAGGGCTTTAAAATGACCCCCCATGAGCGCCCCCGCGCACCTGGTAGTCCTGACCGCGCACCTGACCGCGCAAAATGGCAGTAACACTGCCTCTGGAGCGCGGCCGCGCTCGGGGCACGCTCAGGGCGCGTATATCGCATACTGTTCTGTAAAACACGTATAACCTTGTGCACAGTGATCCGTTCGGGCTCCATAATATATCGTTGGAAAGCTATTTCAAAGGCCTACAACTTTCGTGTTTTGTGTTTTCCCACATACCTTACACGTTTTTTCACTAAACCTTCTGCAAAACTGACTTTTTGTAAACTTCGTAAATTTTATCGAATCTTATGCACCTCATTCTCCATCTTGATTCTAAAGCAACTATTTTCACCCATACTTATCCCGCTAGGACTTCATATGTCTAAAATATCATATTAATACCCATTTAACATATCCACACCTAGTTCGAATGTACGGAGTATTACGACTTATTATGATTGAATGGAGTAAATGAGACGAAAATGCATATTAATTAACCACAATTACGTGATAGAAGAGCGTGCAGAAGACATGATCATGGATAAATTTAGCGGATTTCACATGCTAATTAGTACTCCCTCCGGTCCGCAATAAATAAGTGATTTTTTGGTTATTTTCACACAGATTAAGAAATTCACCTTTTAACATTAATTAGTAATGAAATTGACCATATTAACATTTACTATCTCTTCACATAAACACTCCTAACACATACTCCAACACTAGTTACTCCAAGGGCAATGTAGGAAAATAATAATTAATTCATTCTTGGAATCTGAAAAATCACTTATTTTGGACCACAAAAAAAAACCTAAAAATCAATTATTCTAGACCGGAGGGAGTAATAATTAAAATCCTAAAAATATTATGACCTTTGTTTTGGTCATAATTATACTTAACACCTGTCTAAAACAAATTGAACGGGACCCAATTGCTTAATGATTAATGAATCCTCATAATTATGTGTAGGGAAAGGACCCCAATTGCTTAATGCTTAATGATTGATCAACGATGATTAATCTTGTTTTATTCTCTTTGTTCTTCTGTAATTATATGGTTTTTGAAGCATTAGAACTAGAAAAAGATGGTTTTGTTGTGCGCGCGCGCGCATTTATATTTGTTTTGGAAAAAATTGAGGCAATTGAGCCTGTTTTGATAGCCCAAGAGCAATTAGCCGAAGCCCAAATGTAGAAAACTACCCCTTAAATAACTAGTAGAAATGACACCAGGTAGCCATTCTAAATGATTGCTATTTAAGAATTAGCCAGTACGTCCTAAATTTTAGATTTTCAGTTTAATTTTTCAGGACAAAATATCCTGAATTGTCCTGAAGTAAAGATTTTTAGTTTAAAATTTCAGGACAAAATAAATACTGGCTAATCTCTAAATAGCATCCATGAGAAGTGAGAATGGCTATCTGTGCAACTTGCCCCCCAAAGACTAACCAAAAATTTTCCACTTCTAACAAAGTTAAATTTACATCAAGCTTAATTAGTCATGATTTTCTTAAAATTTTTAATGATTTAATTCCAAAGATCCTATTTTTGGGAGGAAAAGAGAAAAAATGTTTAATTAGAATGAGAAAAATATCTTGCGATAATGGAATATTGCACCTTTTTTGAAATCGCCATTCTACTTAAAAAGACTGCTTTCTGCATTGAATATTTTGTGCTTTGTGGCTCAAACGAAATAATCTTTGTTACTTAAATTCTGTTGGGCTAAACTAGTTCGTATATACTCTCAATATGGTGTGATATTATCCGTTTTGGATCAAGCTCGCACAATTTTCTCAAAAAGAGATAACCATATGTAGGCTCCCAATCTTTTCAGCTATCAATGTGGGACTTTGTTCGTCGCACCCCCACAAATTCTGTATAGCAATGCTTGAAGTAGTCTCTACTATTCTCATACCTCTTATGAAGAGCAATATCAGAATATGATGCCAATTTCTTCTTTTCCTATTGTTTTCTGGGGCATCCTCTTTTTCTCCGTTTTTCTTACTTCCACTGCGAAAATCATCGAAGAGTGTGGCCCAGTGGTCAACGAAGTAATTTGAGAATCATAAGATAACAAGTTCAAATTCCGACAGAAGTAAAACTAGGTGATTTTTTCCAATCTGTCCAACCTGATACTTGTGCTGGTGAGAGGTATCAGGTATCCCGTAAACTGGTCGAGGTGTATAAAAGTTGGTCCGAGCACTATGGTAAAAACTCACATTACTCGACGTAAAATTAATAGTACTTAGTTTTGGAAATATTGCGGGTTATTAGCTGTACCTCTCTTTCTATATACGTATACATCTATATATTATATGTATGTTTTTTCTATTATAAAATATCATATTAATATAACTTAGGCAAAGCCATTGATATATAGGGTGCTTAGGAAGTCAAACACTGGTCGATAAAATGGAGTACATGAATACACAATTCAGACATGTTAACAACTATTATCAAATAGAATACTTACAATACATGTTTAGCACTCAACGTATCCCTCCAACCACAATATTAAAAACGGAAAAGGGCCTAAAATATTCCTGTACTCATCGCCGAGGTGCATATTTACCCTCCGTTAAATATTTGGCCCGTTTGCGTCCCTGCCGTCTCCCAGCCGTCTCCCAATCGTGGCCTTATTGCCCTTCTTGGTGGCAGGGACACAGACGGGCCAAATATTTAATGGAGGTTAAATGTGCACCTGGGCAAAGAGTACAGGGGCATTTTAGACCCTTTTCCGTATTAAAAATACACGTAGTCCTCTAGCACTCAATATGTATACACCAAATCGAACAATTTATCCTTGAAGTACAACTTAAAAGTAAAAATGCATATCACTTAATCATATTATTAAGAGACAAAAGTTCATATGCAAAACGCTTATCTTAAATTCATTGATCTGATGTAAACACCAAGACAAAAAGATAGATAGTATACGCATTCCACAATGCAAATCAGTTGGTTAGAATATGGAAAGGAAACAAGTCAATAAAGGGAAACCCGTTACACTAAGCTCCTGCTATGCGCGAGGTCCGAGGAAGGGCCGGACCACAAGGGTCTATTGTACGCAGCCTTACCCTGCATTTCTGCAAGAGACTATTTCCACGGCTCGAACCCTGAATACTACATTTAATTTTCTTTTTAGAAAAAAACACAACTATAACTGTTATCCAATTCTTTACTCTTCCCCTACTCCTTCAAACAAATCAAACCTTAATTCAGAGTTGAAACTAAACCAAGAACATGAAATTCCTAGCAGAAGTACAACAACAAGAGTAAGAAAGAAAGTTTTTTTTTTTTGTTTTCTCAGCTCTCTTAAAAATGTCTTCAAAGAAAATTGGTAAATGCTATGGCTGCTAGAGCCTTGTACTTTTCAGCAATAATGAATAAATACTGAAAAACCTCTTAATCTTGAGTAACAAACTATATATAATCAGTTAGAAGCAGGGCTCATCTTGAGCAACAACTGCTCCAAGATCGTTTCGATCCTTCTCCGTCATCTTTTACGAGGCTTACCCTGTTAATAGATAACTCCGCTTTGTAGGAATCCGAATTCAAGACCTTTCGACTGACATTGCTGTAGATTTCGCGGATAACAATCTCGAATGCCTTATTAACGTTCGTAGAATCTAATGCGGATGTCTCCATGAAGAACAATCCTTCTGCTTCTGCAAGCTTTGCGCCTTCTTCAATACTAACATCCCTAATGTTGTCCAAATCGCATTTGTTTCCTACCAGCATCTTCGCGACTGTTGTATCACAATGAGCTGCAGGGTTCATCAGATTCAAACTTTTTAGTTATTCTTCTATCTCAGAAACAAATGTAATGTAAAAGTGAAAATACAATAAAAGGTAGCCCGGTGCACTAAGCTCGCGGGGTCCGGGGAAGGGCCGGACCACATGGCTCTATTGTATGCAGCCTTACCCTGCATTTCTGCAAGAGGCTGTTTCCTCGACTCGAACCCGTGACCTCCTGGTCATATGGCATCAACTTTACCAGTTACGCCTAAGTGAAATAATTGATCTTATTAAAGCAGAGAATGGTAGTTGATGAAAGTCAACAGTAGAACAAAGTATATATACACTATAGCCGGGCTGATAGAAAGTTCTCGTTCTGATCTGGATGTCTCGTTAAGGAATAGATTGAGTGCGTAACAAAAAATCTGAACTCCAATACATCTTTTTTTACCTAGACAGCAGCAAACTACTAATTAGCTGCTACTGCTCCCTGCATAGTTGAGAAACAATTAACTTTGACATGTCATTTATACGTACACGTTAAATTAACAATATATAATTCGTTGACGCAATTTCAGCCCTTAATGACAGCAGACAGCAGTTCAGGTGAACTAATCTCAAGCCAATCCAAAAATACAAGGAGTGTTCATATTATTCTGTATCTTACACCTTTGGCCTGTTTGAAGTAGGCAGAAAACTGTCCATATTAGTTAGGTGCATTCAAGTTCAATACTGAGGTCCATATCGGTTTTATCAACATCCACACGTGCCTGAGCGAAGATGTATATTAGATGCATTTAACTAACAGTGCTGCTGCAGAATGTATAATTATAACATGAAGAATCAGTTCAAAGCATAATCACCAAATACGGAAGCACTTCCGACATTTTCAGTCAGGCAAAGAAAGAACATGCTTCTTTTAACACAAAAATCGAAAAATGAACATCTCCAAGGTATTGAGGGAACAGAAACTGGAAAGTAATGGACAAGTCAAACATACTGGTAATTCACCAAATTCATGTCCCTATTAGGAGAACTTAGTGATATACGACAATTGTGACAAAATGATTCTTAAATTAGGTTAGCAACACTCGCCTCATCTAACGCGATAAAAGTGACACCAAATTATGCTGGAAAATCAGATCCTAGTTGCTCAGAAAAAGACCCTACTAACAATCTGGTAGCAACACTCGCCTCATCTAGCGCGATAAAAGTGACACCAAATTATGCTGGAAAACCAGATCCTAGTTGCTCAGAAAAAGACCCTACTAACAATCTGGTATTCACCGTCAACATTAGCATATTACAGAAATATAGGCAATCATTCTCATGAAATCCCTTTATTGTGAACATACAAATCTAGCAGACTCAAACCTACATTTTTATTTTCACCGCAATCTCATTTCTAGTCTTAAGAGGTACACGTGAATCCCACATTCTCAAATAGACGCCGATGCCAATCAAAACTATAACCAATATGCAAATCCATTCATCATAATCTCTCAACAAAAAATAAATTATGTATTTTCACAATCTGTTACATCTCCAAATCTCTTATTTCCCATGTATAGCAGTAATATATAACTTTAGAAAGAATAACAAAAGCTGCTTTTCTACCATGGGATGCTGCTAAATTCTGTTATTCTACTTTTGACATTCTTGGAGGGAGGGAGCCGAGGGCCTATCGGAAACAACCTCTCTACCCCAGGGTAGGGGTAAGGTCTGCGTACACACTACCCTCCCCAGACCCCACTAGTGGGATTATACTGGGTTGTTATTGTTGTACTTTTGACATTCTTGATCTAAGGACTCACAAATGCCAGTCAGTCTATACCTTACCACATAAAGAAACTTTCCCAAACACAAATGCCCAACTACTAAAAAAGAACTTCAATTCAACAAAGTACAACTGATTTACTTAGGTATGAAATTTAACCGCTAAAAACAGACCAAAGTAAAACACAACCAAATAAACAAAAAGGGAAAAACAGAGAGAACAGAATTAGTTACTTCTTATATTCTATTTTACAGCAGGCTTTTTGTACCCAAAAATTGATACCTTTCTATGTTTAGAAGCTCTTAAAATTTTAACTTTCTTTATTTTAACTTTAACAACATATTTTATACGAATAATTTTTTTGTCAAAAAGTTCCTTTCTTTCCTACTCCCTCCGACCCAATTTATGTGATGCACTTTGAATAAACGTAGATTTAAGAAAGTTTAAAAGACTTTTGCATATTATGGTCTTAAACTAAAAAATATATAATGTACCAAAGTGCCCTTTGAATCTTGTAGTCTCAAACATGGCGTGTGAGATGTTAGAACTAAACAGTTACTACTAAATATAGAAAGTGACATTTTCTTTAAACGGATATAACTAGGGGTGGGCATAGTTTGGGCAAACCCGAAATCCAAACCGAAATCCTAATTTCTTAGATTTTTGGTTTGGATTTTCGGATTATGGATTGGATTTTGGATTTAATTTTTAATTTTTTGGATTTCGGATTGGGTGTTGGATTTGGTACTTTTGATTTTTGGATATCCGAAAATCCGAAAAGTTTATAATTTATATGTTTAGTCCATTATCTATATGTCAATAATAATAAGTTAAATGCCCTATCCATTAAATATTATTTCATATATGCAATATTAATTACTAAGTTACTGTCAGAATACTTTCTATTTGGACATGGTTTTACTATTACTATTTCTTATCGGCCGTATTAATGTCTCTATTGCATTTTCTTGATAGTAATTTCATTACTTGAATGCTTTATTTGGATGATTGCGATGAGAATGAGTAACTTTTCAGGCAATTTAATATGAGTACTTCATTTGGATATTCATTTTTGTAAAAAGAAGAAACATGTCAACTTATAAGCTCAAAACCGAAAATCCAAAAATATCCAACCAGATTAATCCGAAACCGAACTTAAAAAATCCGATCCAATCCGAGTTTATTTGGATTGTCATTTCTTCAATCCGAAAACCGAAAATCCAAACCGAAATTCTATATTTAATCCGAACTGCCCGAACGCCCACCCCTAGATATAACTAGTAAAGTTGTTGTCACGTGATCGAGAGGTCACGGATTCGAGCCATGAAAATAGCCTCTTGCAAAAATGCAAGGTAATGCTGCATACAATAGAACCTTATGATCCGGCCCTTTCTCCGACCCCCGCATAGCGAGCAGTGGCGAAGCTAGGAATTTTTCCGAGTTATTCAAATTTGAAAGAAATGAAAAAAAAATTCCGACAAAGGGTGTTCCATATGTGTTATATATCTCTAAAACGTAATATTTTACCTATATACACAGTGTAATTTTTCGGCGAAGGTGGTTAGTTGACCACCCTTGTGATCATGTGGCATCGCAACTGATAGCGAGAGTTTAGTGCATCGAATTAAAATAGGAAATATGACACATAAATTGAAACAGAACAGTACGAAATAACTTACTATTAAGCTCATCAAGCCACCTCGTAACACTTTCAAAAGTACTTCTCCGACTAATATCATAAACAAGTAATGCACCAAAAGCACCACGATAATAAGCAGAAGTTACAGCTCTAAACCTTTCTTGACCAGCAGTATCCCAAATCTGAGCTTTTACTTCTTTACCATTAATTTCAAGAACTTGGGTCTGAAACTCAACTCCAATTGTTGCTTTTGAATGCAAGTTGAACTCATCTTCTAGCCCATTATTCTTGATAATAAATTTGTTTTCCAACTGCTGAATCACTATTATTACAATCTTGAAAAGATATTCTTCAATATCATCATCTGATGAATCCATAACTGTTTGATTTATAGAGTATACTGTAGAAATAGATCTTGTTATTTGGGTAAATTTTTTTTTTTTTTTTTTTTTTTGGGAGTTGATATTTTGAGATGTTCAAGAAAATGGAAGGTGGGTAAACTGAGAGAGAATTTAAGAAAGGTTTTAATGATATGATGAGTGGACCTTATGTTATGTCATGTTGTGTGTAATAAATTGCTACTTTTTGCCAGATTACGCGCCAGTTTTTTCTCATTTTATTTTTTATTTTATATTAAAAAAGTGCATTAATTGGGGTTTGATTCACCGACAAAATTATGGGTTAGTCTTTGACTCTTTGTTCAATTTTATATGCTACTTCTATCTGTCTCATTTTTATGATTAATTTTAGAGAAAATCTTACTTTATATCCATTAATTCTAAATTATTTACCCTTTAATGTCCAGGTCCAAATTATTTACTTCTCCTATCCATGCAGCCCAAACTATTTACCCGGCCTTTATTTTATTCGGCCCAAAGTGTATTCGTACTGTAAGCTAAGGCTGTCCAACAGGACGGGCCGGCCCGTCCCGTCCCGCGTCCCGTCCCGTCCCGTCCCAAGTTAAACGGGATGGGCCAATGTTAAATGGGACACGGATGGGACGGGACGACCATTTCGTCCCGTTTGTCCCGTCCCGTTTCGTCCCGTCTCGCGTCCCGACATTTTTTTTATAAAAAAAACTAGCCGTTGGGCAACGGCTTAAATTGCAAAAATAGCCGTTGCCAACGGTCCAAACAGCCCCTATCCCCGCCCCCCCAAACACCCCCTACCTCCCCCAAACTTTTAATTAACCCCTAAGTTTATTGAATTACACTTTGGCCCTATTTCTACTATAATGCTCCCATTCTTCTTCATTTTGTCCCACAAAAAATCAATCTTCTCTCTCAAATCTCTAACATTCTAATATTCTATCTATATTATTCTCTCAGTTTTGTTACTATCAACTATCATTCAAGTATTTGGGCAAAATTCCATCATTCAAGTATTTGGGAAAAATTTTTGGAGCAATTTTCAAGCTTCAAATTAATTCGCAAGTATTTGGAGCAATATTTTGGGCAATTTCTTCAAGTTTCAATATTTAATCACGGTGCACTCGTTCCATCTCCTAATTTTAATATATAATTTTTGCGTATCATTTTAGTGCTTAATTTTTGTGTTTACTTTACGTGTTATATTTTTGTATTTCATTTGTGTATTTAATTTTTGTGTTAGCTTTTTTAATTTAATATCGTATTTAAATTATGGCACCTAAAATTATATTTGGCAATTTTTTAAAAAGACAAGTAAAAAAAATAGTAAAGGTGAAAGTAGTAGTAATCCTAATCCTAGTCATAATCCTAACCCTTCTCCTAGACCTAGCATTAGAAAACATATTGATGAAATGACTCATGTTGATGAAATTTTATTTTCCCAACCCCCCACATTTTATGATGTTCATGTCGGAGAACAATTAGATCATGAAACTTTACAAAGACAATTTGGCAATGATATTTTTTTTAGGACGAAGAAAATGAGGATGAAGAAAATGAGGAAGAAGAATTAGATGAAACACTCACTAGTCCCGCAACATAAGCTCCAACTCAGAGTCAATCTCAGTTTGGAGCTTTACCCCCTGTACCCCCTGTAAGGGGTAAGCCTAAGGCTGAAATTATATTAAATAAATTATAACTCTATTATAAATTTATAATTACTACAATATTTCATACAAGTCTTTTGTTTTAATATTTTATAATTCTTTACTTAGTTTTCTAATTTCGTTTTAACATAGTAACATTTAAGTTTATTAAATAAGTCAAAAATCTAACCGTTGCAAACTTTAAAAACATAGTAATTTTCAAAAAACCAGATATTTTTTTTAATAAAAAAAATATAATTAAGGCCCACGAACCCGTCCCGTACCGTACCGTCCCATCCCGTTCCATCCCGTTTGTTAGTGGGACGGGATGGGACGACCGTTTTGTTCCGTTTTTCCCGTCCCGTTTCGTCCCGTCCTGCTTAAATGTCATCCCGTTCCGTCCCGTCCCGTCCCGTTAATTTCGTCCCGTCTCGTCCCGTTGGACAGCCATACTGTAAGCTGCCTCCTGATAGTGGCTCCAAAGAAGTTCTAAGCTCCTTAACCTGAGATAAAAATGACAGCCTCTCACTCATATATATAATCTGATTAGAACAAGTAAAGATTAGGCAATGATTTGAAAATTAGAGTACATTCACATTATCATCCTTTGAGAATCTTCCCATTAAGGATAACTAAGAATTTATAAATTTAAAAAAAAAAAAAAAGAACTAGTTAAATGCACAAGTCAGAGTACAAAATTTTCCAGAACCAACTATGATCTAATTGAACTCTGAGAGAAAATTTTTACTGAAGATAAATGCTACAAATATAAACCTTTTTACCTTGTGTTGTCGATCCTCCCCATCTGTATTTTTATGTGTATTTGAATATTTATTATTGTTGGGCTTGAAGTTCTTGAATTTAAAATTTTTATTTTAAAGATTTCTTGTTTGATTCAAAGTGGGTGCTGTTAAATATTGCTTATAATATCTTCTGGAAGTTCATACTGAAATCTGATAGCATTTGGAGCTGATTTGAGGTGATTGAGATCGAATTTTTCAGCTGAAAATCGAAGAACACAGCTACCTAATAGTATACTGCTACGGTATACAATATGCTGTAGGAGTACATAGCTATACTGCAACAGTATACTATTACAGTTATAATATACTGTAACGGTATATTGTAATAATCGAAGAAGTACACAGTTACCTAACAGTATACCGCTACAGTATACAATATACTATAAGAGTATATAGTTATACTGCAACAGTATACTATTATAGTATACAATATATTGTTATAGTATACTGTAATAATATGCAATATACTGTAACAGTATGCTGTAATAGTATACAATATACCATAATAGTATACTTATTACCCGTAAATTCATTTGCCTTTTCCCTTTTAATTTGCTTTAAGTTTTTACCCAGCGTGAGGGGCAAAGTGAAAATTCAAATCTTTTTTTCGTTTTCATTTATTCTATGACTTGAATTCCAAGACTTCTAACTTCTGCATTAATCTACCATTGGAGGGCGTTAAAGCTTTGAAACGCATAAATTGGGTTTGTTGAGTTTGGTTATTTTGAAACTAAAAACAAGAAAAAAAATTTTAACTCTTTGCGTACAATTGTATACCCTGTTGGTATAGCTATATACTATACTGGTATATATCATATGTTAGTTAATATTTTTTGGTTGTATTAGCTACATTTAATTGGTACACAATTTGATTTTTCTTTAGTAGTAGTATAAAAAAAAATAATAAAAAATAGTGAAAATAGTAAATGAAATTAGATTACGAAGAGAAAAAGAATATAAAAAAAGTTGAATAAAATTAGAAAAAGGAAAAAAGAAAAAAATAAGAAGAAAACGAGAAAAAAGAAAAGGAGAAAAGAAAAAAAAAGAAAAGAAGCATAGAAATAAAAAAGAATTGTAGAATAAAGAAAAAATTCCCAACAAAAACTACTATGGGTAGAAAATATAATTAGTTTATGGGTAGAAAAACAAATGGGTAGACAAGGGTAAATAGTTTTATTTTTGTGGGTAACTGTGTCATTCTCCCTTAATTTTACGAAAAATTTCACATTAGAGCAACTGAAATCTCTACCTTTTAATTTTATAGCCTATATTTCAATTTACAACCAACTAGCCCAAAAATAATAGGTTAAGATTCAACATCTAACTCAATAAATTCTCGAAATTATTTAATTTTAAAAAAGATTGCTCAAGCTTTTAAGTTAATTTTTAAATCAGCAACTATAACTCAAATATTAGTTCAACAAACCAAATCCATTTGAATGGTGAAAATTAGATTTTTAACAAGCTTAAATATGTGAGTTTAGATTTTGAATTTGATTTTGTGAGAAATTTGGAGTGAGTGTTATTTAGAATTGTTAGAAATAGTATAAGGAGATTGTATATAAAATTTGAAGTCATTTAATGGAGATTTGGACTGGTTTTGAACAAGAATAGCAACTGAAAATTGTGGAAGAACTTCGTCTACAGACGCTTGTATAAAGGTGTATAAAAGTGTATATTTGTGTATAAGATGTGTTTATACACCCATATACACTATTATATAAGATTATACATAATTATACAAAAAATTAACTTCGATTTCTTCCTTGCATCTTTTCTAAAATTTAACTAAAATCTTGCTCAAATATACTCAAAATCACTTCAATCGAAATGTTGAACTCCTTTTTGATATTTTCAATCAATTGGAACAACACCCAATCCAAACAACTAACAAACTCAAAAAATTCTATTTTCGAAAGCAAAGCTTGAATAGCCTTCAATGGTGGACTTCTATCTTCAATTCTCTTACATTGCAACCAGGTGACACGGGAGAAGAAGCAGTAATGGCGGACGGCCCCTTGAAGCATATGTAGAAGATGTGAGAAGAAAAGAGAGTGAAAGCAATGGTTGTGAGAACACAAATTTAACTCCATATATTTTGAATTTGCTAGTACTTTCAAAATATGTACAATATAGGCTAGGTCGGGTAAAACTTAAAAATATGGGTCATTTTTTGTTATGGTGTGATGTCAAGTGTATTTTCTTGTAATTCTTTCAAATTTTATTGGACACAAAATTTTTAAGAACTGTTTTTAAAAGTTGAGATTTTACTAGGCTATAAATAGTTATATGGCTAAAAATATTTAGTTTAAGATAATTAGATAACGACACGATAGTCTTTTCAGGAATAACACATCGTTATATCTGGATAAATTAACTTTAACTTTCATATTATATTCTCACTTTGATGATTTATAATCACATAAGTATTTATAATATATTTTAAATTATAAATTTAAAAAGCTATTAACTTTATTTTAACCTTCATATTTGAAAGTAGCGAAAATGAGGATGTTTAGTCGGATGTATAAGCATATTAGGAGAGATAAGATTAAGAAAAAAAATA